ATATTTGATGGACTTCTCTATACCCTTGGAGCTCTAAAATTTCATGATATTTAATGAATGTTATAAATCTGAAACTCATATCCTTCTCTAATTCTAGGAAATATTCTTCTATTATTATTTCTTTGACAATGTCACCCCCTCTATTTTCTCTTTCTGATACTCCTGGTAGACAAATTGGAGGTACCTAGTTTGGCTCTCCATTTTAAAAAGTATTTATCTCATATACTCTATCTCGTTGTCTTTTTGTTTTGTGTTGTAGGAGAGTTCTTAGACTCTTTATTTCAGCCCTTTTATTAGCTTTTTAATTTCAGCAATTTTTAATTTCCAAAATTCTTTTTTGTTGTTGTTTGTAGAGTGCTTTCCCTTACTTATTTTCAGGAAACTATTCTTATTTTATTTATGCAATTCCTTTTTCTTCTTCTTTTAATCCTCACCTGAGGACATTTTTGGATTTATCTTCAGATAGAGCGGGAGGGAGAAAGGGAGGAAGAGAGACAAAGAAACATCAATGTGAGAGAGACACATCGACTGGTTGCCACCCACACGACCCAAACAAGAGCCAGGGGACTAACTGCAACTGTGCCCTTAGTGGAACTGAACCTGGGACTCTCTGTTCTGCGGGCTGATGCTCTAACTGCTGAGCCAAACTGACAGGGCTGCAATTCCTTCTAAGAACAGTAATAAGAATTGTTTGAAAGTTCTTTTGTCTTCCCTGAATTATAACTTGTTTTTTCTGGGGTCAGTTATTCTATTTATTCATCTTTATCCTCCTCTTGTGCTCCTGATTTCCTTCTAGTCAACCTAAAAATATGAGTAAAAGAGTAGTTTGTTACTTTGGTTGGTTGTTTTCTTTGGTTAAGTTTGTTTCCCCAATAGGCCACTACCTTGAATGGAAAGAAGGAACCACAAGTTCTGTATAGGTAGGCAGTATATGTTGTTTGACAGGTTTTGCCCTAGGTCAAACAAGGAGCTTGCAGGCAAACTTGAACCCTTGATTTAAAATAAAGCCCAACTGTCCATCAATAGATGAGTGGATAAAAAAGCTGTGGTACATATATACAATGGAATACTATGCAGCTGCAAGAAAGAAAGATCTCTTATCCTTTGAGACGAGATGGAGGGACCTCGAGAGTATTATGCTAAGCAAAATAAGCCAATCAGAGAAAGACAAACACCAAATGATCTCACTTATTTGTGGAATATAATGAACAAAGTGGGCTGATGAATGAAATGGACCCAGAGACATAGAAAGGAGTATGGTTCAGACTGACAAAGCTCAGAGTAGAGGGGTGAGGGGGGGATGGACAGATGAACCAAAGAACTTGTATGCATAACCAATGACATAGATAACAATGCTGGGGGTGGGGTGGGGAGGAGGGTGTCTGGGGTAGGGGGGAAGGCGAAACATCTGTAGCAAAAATAAATAAATAAAAATTGGAGGAAAAAAATGAAATTATATAAAATAAAGTGGGTTTTGCCTGGCTGGTGTGGCTCAGTGGTTGAGTTGACCCATGAACCAAGAGGTTGCTAGTTCAATTCCCAGTGAGGGCACATGCCCAGGTTGTGAGCCAAATCCCCAGTAGGGGGCATGCAGGAGGCAGCCAATCGATGTTCTTTCTCTCTCATAGATGTTTCTATCTCTCTGTTCCTCTCCCTGTAATAATCAATAATGAAAAAATGTTTTTAAATTAAGTGGGTTTCACTCTGAAGTGATGACACCCATATTAGAAGATAGCACTTAGTTTGTTTGAGACTGGAAGGTAAATATATTTCTTACTGCTATATGTATGCAGTAGGTATAATAGGATGGTACAGAGGGTCATTTGTTGAAGAATGTATTTCCACTGAAGCTTTTACTACTCTGGTTTATCTATTAGTATAATCTGTATACTTACTGCCTTTCAAAAACTCATCAACATCTCAGGTCTGCTGAGGGTTCCTCATCCTCTGTCATGGCGGTTAGGTATTTATTTTCTGTTTATACTTCTTTACAGTCATTTCATTAGGCTTCAACAGGAAGTGTCAGTCTCCTTCTTAAACTGGATGCCCCAAAGTGAACAGAGTACCCCAAATAATATTTCATACTTTCTGAAGGAAAGAGTGCGTGAATGACCTCACAAATGTAGGAATTCATAGCAACTACTCTGCTAGCTTAGCTGCCCTGGCATTTATACCACCTCTCTGCTGAGAGGCTGAGCAGATCCCTTTATACGCCTGCTCTAATCTACACTGCTGTGCTCTAGGCCTGCTATTCAACTCTCATCCTAGGACTTCCTTTCACTGCTCCCATGTTTCCTGGCTTCCATATCTTCTCTCTTCAATTACTCTGGTTTTCTTGAGTATATGCTAGAAGTTTCCTAAGAGAGGATACGCAATGAGTAAATTTTTTTGAGTTTGCACATATGGAAATTTCTTTACATTTGAATTTTATTGATAATTTCACTGAATTTAGAATTATAGGCTGCAAATAATTTTTTGGCAGACTGTTGAAGGCTGTTGCAGGTGAGAAGGCCAATGCTATCTGATTCCTGATCCTTATTTTATTTCTCTCTGGAAGCTTTTGGAATCTTCTTTTTAATTTCATATGTTCTTCACATGTGATCAGTCTGCCATGTGAAACAGGACTTGTCATGTGTTTTAATTTTGTCTCCTCAGGGAGACAGCAAGTATAACAGAAATAGCATTGCCCCTGAAAAGTTATGCCTAGATAGATGAATGTGACTATTAAAATAAAATTGTGTTTGTAAAGTATCTGGCACATATTGATACCCTACCCCCAAAAGTGAACTTAAACACTTGAGGCCTGGACCCAGGTCTTATACATCCTTATGATTCTCACCACATCTGGCATGTATTGGCTACATAACAGATGCTCAGTAAATATGACTTGATGACTTGATGAGTCATAGACCTCTCTTTGCCATTATTTTTCTGTGGGATTTTATTTATGATATTTATCTTTAGTGTGTCTCAATTTGTAAGTTTGTCAAATAGGTAAAAAACTTGCTTATTGTTCATGGATGTAGTGAGGCTACAGTTAGTGAGTAATGTGAAAATATTTTAAAAAGTTAAAACCCCTCTACAGATGTCAAGTATTGTCACTGCCCTTAAGGTAGGTAAACAAGCAGCTGAACCTTCCTATGTATATGGGAGACATCCTGTTATGAAGATAAGCCTAGGCTTAATGTCTAATGATATATGTCCCTAATATTATCAAAGGCATATTTACCTATGTCACCTTTGTAAGTCCTTAACTGTGATTGTCTTCCTCATTGAGGAACCAGAAAATGTTTCTTTGTTTCAACTGCTGAAAGCTATGCAAACAGCAGTAGAAAAAGAAAGACAGTGGATATGAGTTTTTGGTCTTAAAGTTGAATAAACCTTCCTAATTTTCTAAAACACACTTAATCCAAAGGATTTAGAAAAAGGAATGTGATATTCATATAATAAATAATGGAGAACAGTTTACAATTCATATATTTATGAGAAATGTACAGAAAGAAAAGGCATTTTTGAATTTTCGGAGTCTAAGTAATAGAGTAAAAATAAAAATGAAAAGTCATGTAATTTAGTATGGGCAGCACTGGAACTACTTGGTTATGCAGAGAAGTTGTGTGAGTGAGGAAATTAATCTGTCTATATCTGACAAGAATAAAGGCGACCTGTATATGATAGCATGGAAATAAAGTAATTGATTAATTAGTCTTCAATTTAAACTTTTTTTTTTTTTATCCTCACCTGAGGACATTTTTCGATATTTTGTTCAGATAGAGTGGGAGGAAGAGAGAGAGAGAGAGAAACATTGACGTGAAAGGGACACATTGAGTGGCTGCCATCCACATGACCCAATCAGGGCCAGGGACAAACTGCAACCGAGGTACGTGCCCTTAGCAGGAACCGAACCCGGGTCTCTCTGGACCGCAGGCCGATGCTCTAACCGCTGAGCCAAACCGGCCAGGGCCAATTTAAACTTTTATTATCAAGGCTGATTATTCTCTACTGTAGTGCTTTTCAAACTTAATTTCTTAGCAGCAGAGTCCTCTGTTTCCTAACTGAAATCTTACAGAACAGACAAATGTGAAGCTGCTCTTTTTGAAGCAGGAACTTTAGAATGAGGAAGCCATGACAAAATTCAATTGCTCACCTATTTTCCCCCTGCAGCAGCCCTTAGATTCCTCTAAGGAAATAGAGTTTGAAAATTATCAGTTCAAATAAGGTGTTCTATTAGCCAAGTAAGGTTTTATTTATGTGGTCATAAGTAAAACTGGTTATGAGAGAATAAAAATTCATCTTGATTTCTTCTTTTTTATTAATCCTCACCTGAGGATATTTTCCCATTGATTTTTAGATATAGTGGAAGGGAGAGAGAGAAAAAAACATTGATGTGAAAGTGACATATGGATTGGTTGCCTCTCGCACCGGGGCCAGGGATTGAACCTGCAACCAGGTACATGCCCTTCACCAGGAATTGAACTCACAACCCTTTGGTCCATGGGCCGACACTCTAACCTCTGAGCCAAATTGTCCAGGGCAAAACCCATCTTAATTTCTAATACAGGGTCCTCTATCCATCTGAAACAAATCATGACTATCCTCCACAACAGAGGTATAAACTAGAGAATTCCTTATCATTGGCTGTTCTTTTCTGCGGCAGACGTGAGTATGTGGGGTCCTAAAGATTACCTGAGACTTTCAAACAATTAAATTCCCTTCACGGAAGGAAGGGAATACATGGAAGGAAGGGAAGTATGCCTATTTGTAAAGAAATAGAAAAAAGGATATGCAAGCATGGAAAAGATTGACAGATCTCAGAGGGAAGGGGGGCGGTGGGAAGAAATTAACCAAAGAACTTTTATGCATATATGCATAGCCCATGGACATAGACAATAACACAGGGAGGAAGCCAGGTGGAGGGGCGCAAAAGGGAGAAAATGCGGGACATCTGTAATACTTTCAACAGTTAAAAAAAGAAAAGAAATAGAAAAAAATATTTTACGTACCCAGAGCACAAGGACATTCATGAGATGGTCTATGTGTGTCCGTTTAAAGGAGGACTTTCCACTGTTCTGCATTAATTTGGTGTCTGGCCCTAAGTGAAATGGGGAGACATCAGCTCTTAGAATTATTGAATATACTCACAGGCTTGAAATTGGGTTGAAATGTACCTTTATGATTACCTAATCAAAACTCTTTCCAGTGCCAGGAATAAAACCCTGGAGAAAGGTTCATAGTTGGTGCCAATAACTCAAAGTATAGAAAATTTGTATCTAGGAATAATTCCAACTACTTCTGCAAAGTGCAGCAATGCTAACTCCTCTCACTGCAGCACCTGAGGGGTGTATTCTTTCACAGATGAGCTAAGTCAGAATAGAAGTCACAAGCTTCTCTCTCATTACCATCTGCTTAATTCAGCATAGAAAAGGAATTTTCTGATACTGAGGTGTTTTTTTTTTTTTTTTGAGGAAACACACTGTTGGACCAGGTTCTACTTATTAAATTTTTTTTTATCCTCACCTGAGGACATTTTTCGATATTTTGTTCAGATAGAGTGGGAGGGAGAGAGAGAGAGACATTGACGTGAAAGGGACCATGTCACCCGCATGACCCAACCAGGGCCGGGGACAAACTGCAACCGAGGTACGTGCCCTTAGGGGGAACCAAACCCGGGTCTCTCTGGACCACAGGCCGACGCTCTAACTGCTGAGCCAAATCGGCCAGGACATCTACTTAAAGTTTCTAATTGGGAAAGGAAGAAAGGAAAAGGCAATGGCAGTGATTTCTTCTGAGGTAGAAGCTGGGGATCTGAGACGTCTCTGGGGCTAAGAGACAGAGTCCATATTTCTTCATGACAGGGCAGACAGTAAGCAGAAGTAAAAGCTTTTAATGACCATGGGCATTAGGGTTGGAAATTACTGACTAGAGAGAGATGGCTGCAGAGAAAACATAAGAAGTTTAGAAGAAAGTGTAAGTAGAAATTTCTCTAGCCTTTTACTATCTGATTATTATTCTTACATGTACTCTAATGAAGGAATTTCATCAATGTTTACATATGAGGGAGCTGGAACTTCCCTGGTATGTGGATGAACTCTGAGAATGCAGTGCATAAGCTATGCCATTCTTTCCTCTTAAGCATTCCTTGAAGGGCGTGAACTAATGAGAAGTTTGGCTGAGAGACTGAAACTACAAGGGACAGTATCTTCCAAGGATTCACAGAAAGACTACCCCTACCCCAGGTTTCAGAAAGAATGTGGAGATCACAGCAGAACTTACACATCATGTAGCAGTAACAGCAACTCAGTGCTGCACTACACACCTTGAGACACTCTTAGGTGGCATCAGTTCTGTATTCTGAGCTTCCCAAAGCCCCCAGAGATTTTTCACTACCATGCAACCAACCAAGAGTCAGAGGGAACCCTTAACTAGATTTGTGCTTGTTGGCAACCTCATTGCTGTTGCTTTAGGGAAAATTTTTTTTTTTTTGCTAAAAAAGAGCTTTGTATGTGTGGCAATGTGTGTGAGTACCTGCTTAAGAACAGTAAAAAAATAAGTCTACTTCAAATCTTTTGAGCTTGGGAGTAGGCAGCCTAGAAGCTGCCACTTATAGGTCAAGAATAAAAAAAAAATGTTCCACCAAGGCCTCCCTGGACTCTTAAGTTTCTCTCCAGGGCTTGGATCCTATTATTTTCCACAGAAGTGAGGCATCTAGGATTCCCATGTCTAGGACTAAATTTTCTAGAAGGGGAGTGACCCACTGATTGGTTGCCTCCCACATGACTGCAACTGGGGCCAGGGATCAGACCTGCAATCCAGGTACGTACCCTTGACCGAGAATTAAACCTGTGACCCTTCAGTCCATAGACTGATGCATTAACCACTGAGCCAAACCAGCCAGGGAGAAAATATTTTTTTTTCTTAAATCATCCATCCATCCATCCACCTCCTTTTCTTTCTGTCTCAAAGCCATAGTGTTCTGGTGTATATCTGAGTACCATATCTACATTCTGAAACCTAAGTGCTCACAACTTGGCCATGAATTGAATCCAGCAGGTTGGGACGACTAACTGTGGCTCCAGGGATACGTACCGGTATAAATCACTAAGCCATAGCACCAATCTGTATTCCTGATGATGCATCCTCGGAGCAGCAGCTTGTCATGGTCCAGGATGTGGTTTTTTCCCTTATAAGTCAGTATTCCTGTGAATCTGCCCAACTTGTTATTGGGAGACTCACACCTCACTTCACCTGAAAGACAAAAATGAAGAAGTAAGAGTGCTGGCTCTGTAATCTTAGGCCTTTCCTAACAGGGTAGAAGGAGGCTTAACATAAAAGAGAAAAGAACATCCCTCTTTCAAAACACATACATATCCTATCCTCTCTCAGATGCTGCCCATTTCTCAGCAGCTCCTTTTAGAAAGACAGGCAAAGGTTTCTGGGCATCAGAGAAGAGTAATCCTGTTTGTGGCATGGGTTATCCAGAGAGAGTCATGGATGAGAAAACCCCACAAGATAACATCACTATCAGTAATGCTAGATCTATGAGCTCTAAATCTGAAAAAATTTTTTAAAAGCTACTTAACTTAAAGCAACCCTAGTATTTTTTCAAAATGAAAATAAATTTTACTTTTTTCTGATTAGTTAAGCAAAATATGCCCTTTGTAAATATGTATACACTATTAAAAGGAGAATGGAGAAGTAATATTTACCCACTGCTTAGAGATAAGTGCTATTAACCTTCTGAAGTACATCCTTCCAAGTTTTTTCTATACGTGTACTCATAAATATGTATAGGTTTCAAAAAACAAGTTTATGCTATATATGCTAAGCATAATCTATTTTTCCACTTTCTAGTATGTTGCAAATATTTTCCCATGTCAATAAATATCAACTTGAATATTATTTTTAAAAAGTTATATAGAATTCACTGTATGAGTATACCATACTGTATTTAACCAGTCCTTTACTGATGAAAATTTGGGTGGGCAAACCTAGGTGCTAACTCACCATCAAAGGCAGAAAGCAGCTTCAAGTTATTTTCCATTTCACTGGTAACAGAGATGGCCTGCTTCACTTTCAGGTTGGTTTCACTAGAGTAAAGGACACAGTCACCGGCATACAGGGCATATACACAGCTTCAGTACAGGTCTAGTTTTTCCTACTTCTTCATGGAGTTTTAGAAAATAGATGTTGCCAGTAGAACTTGGGCTATAGGTTTGAGCCATAAGAGTCACTCCCACTATTCTCTCTCAAGGACAGTGTCGAGGTGGATGCCTCCCCAAGGAAACTAATGTTACCGTACACTCTCCCCTCTCTCACTGAAACACAACACCATTCTTTTAACCAACCCATGATATTTTGCTTGACAGATGCTCTAGAGAAGCTGAAGAGACATCACAAAACAATGTGGAGGAGGCATCTGCTTCCTTCAAGAATAAGGAGCATGTTCTGATAAAAACCTGCACAAACCTTCAAGTAAACATACTCATCACTTCATAAATATTTATAGGACTCATGAAGGGATCCAAATTAACCATTTGCTGATATAGGAGTACACAGAGACAGGAACAAAAATAGAAACCACATTTCAAAAAACTTGTGGGCACTAAGAGGAATGTTTGTAAGAATGCATACAAACTCTATAGGACAAGCTCTCTGAAGATGGTCTCTATCATCCTAAGATCTTAACTTTTGCATGGTAATATATTTCTACCTTAAATCCTTTATAGAACATGGTGTTCTATCAGTAAATAGTTACCTCCATACTCGTTCTCCCCTCCCGCTGGATACTTTGGAATTCTATTCTGAAATTTTACAGTTCTGTTAACTTCTTTCCTGTCACTCAGCCAGAGTGTTTCCAGTTGAGAGATGGAGAATATGGAGTTTATTTGCCCAGATTCTGTACCCAGTGAATGCTTGATTATTGCTGTTAAGAGCTTAGCCTTCAACTTGAGGTCCCAAGAGTCTGGCCTCCTATCTTTTCTTATCTGGATAATTCTAGCCTCTTTGGAACTTCCATCTGAGAATAAAATTCATTTTTTGCATCATGTTCTTCCTCAGTGAAAAATCACTAAACTGGCTCAATCACCTTAATGAACCATTAAGAAGGAACACTCACCCATCCAGTTCTGCTGTTTCTATATATGTCATACTGTAGGGCTCACTGCTAGAGAGTAACAGTATATCAGCCTGTGGTCAGAAAAGTCAGAGAAGATAAGGAAAGCAGGAAGACAGACTTTTAACATTACAGTGTGACAAGAGTATTTACCTTAGGAACAGATGTTCATCCTAAGAATTTTATAGACATTTGGTTTACTTTCTTTGCCTAGGAACCATCACTGCTACCATATACCCTTCCTAAAACTAGCCTCACATTACTTGTAGTTCTAGTGAGAGGTGGACAAGAACAAACTTCTTATCACAGGAACTACTGATCTCTGGATGCAAAGTGAGGCAGATGAAAGTCACCAAAGTAGTGGTAGTAGATGTGCTAAAAGGATTCCCTTGCACCCACTCAAGCCAAAAGAGAAAGAGCCACAGCCCAAAGAGGTACTCACCGTGACAGGCTGATTATTTTCTAATTTTATTATATCTCCCACTTGGATATTCATCCATTTTTTCTTCTCCATCCTGTAAGAAGAAAAAAAGCTGAGATGTATCATTGCTACAATCAAGAATAGTCCCCCCCTTTTTCAAATTCCAGGGTTATATTTCTTTAAATCTTATTAAAAATTCAGTTTTCTTTGAATGTTCTAATATAAACATAAGTTCTTGTTGCAAAATCACTGTTTATATATCCTTGAACCTCTTTCCTTTGGTTTCAAGTATCATCTCTATGCAGATAAATCCCAATATGTTTATTTATTTTGTTCCTAATTTTCAAATCAGGATAATAGTACTAAAGGGTAGTAGCTATAAGCTTTGGAGAAAAATATCTGAGTGTTTTATTTTGTCTTGATTTGACATTCATTTTTGCTGTCTGCCACCATTTTCACTAGTAGAACATGATGTTACAACATTCTGGCTTCTCCTGGAGATTTAAAAGCTTATATAGCCCTGGCCAGTTTGGCACAGCAGTTAGAGCATCACCTGTGGACCAGAGAGTCCCAGGTTCGGTTCCAGCTAAGGGCACATACCTCGGTTGTGACTGTCTCCGGCCCCCAGTTGGGGTCATGTGAGTGTCAGCCAGTCGATGTGTCTTATCTCTCTCTCTCTCTCTCTCTCTCTCTCTCTCTCTCTCTCTCTCTCTCCCCCCCTTCCTCTCTCCCTCCTGTTCTATCTGAAGATAAATGCAAAAATGTCCTCGGGTGAGGATAAAAAAACACACACAAAAAATAAAAGCTTATATAAAAGCTTACATACATAAGGTTTTAAATGTATGTTTTTAAAACAAAAATTTTAAATGTTGTATCATGTATATTTTATATTATGTTTGTATTATGTATTGTTATATATGTTTTAAAACAAAAATTTATATTTTGTTACATAAGGAGCTGTCAAACTACTACTACTTTGTCCCTGTACATTATAACAATCATATGTCCCAAATTTAGAAGAGGAGGAGATATTCCATCTCGATTTAAAATATTCAATCCTGTTGTGTCATAAGTACATTTTTAATTTCCAAGCATTGCATTCTAACCTTTGACTTATAAAATTTGGTTATATAGCTAGAGAAGGCACTGCTTGGACTCCGGAGGAGATCTTTCACATTGTATTCTCTGCTTTATGTGAATGATACCTCCTGGAGTTCTGTAACACTCTGGTACTTTCCCTAATATAAATACTTAGAAATGCTAGATAAAATAAAGCCTACATTCTTTCAAAAAGCAAGGCTATATTTAACACAAAGTGAGGATCCAGGAAAAAAGACAGAACTGAAATTCAGAACAGAAGCATGTTCTGAAGCTGTTCTTGCCCTGAACTGGGGAGAGGATTCCAGCCTTAATATTAATAATAGCCCACCAAAGGGCCAAGAGATTAAATTAAGCCTTAGGGTCTTGAGATCCAGTGAGTTGGAACTGAGAACGCCTCATAAAGCTAGGACTCTGGAAAAGGCAACACCATTAAGAAAAAGGTGGTCTAAAAGAAAAATCAACTCACTGGCAAGAAAGTTTTTCTCTTACCCTGGAGGGTTGGGCATCACTGTATGGAGGACTCCCCTGATATTCTGTAACCTCATGAGGTATGGGAGTAGGTGATACCCATGAGTTACTTGGCAGAAGCAAACAAAACCCCTCAGGAGGGATATAACCTGAACTCAGGCCACTTAGAATTCCCATAAAGAAAGTTCAACTAAAGATGTGTTTTTAAAATTCTTTTTCCTTTATTGATTTGAGAGAGAGAGGAAGGGAGAGGGAGAGAAAGAGAGAAACATCGATGAGAGAGAACATCAAGTGGCTGCCTCCTGCATGTCCCCCCACTGGGGATCAGGCCCACAACATGGGCATGTGTCCTGACTGGGAATCGAACCAGTGACCTCTTGGTGCATGGGTTGACACTCAACCACTAAGCCACACTGGCCAGACTCTTCCCCATCTCCTAATACTTAGCACAAACATCGCCTCCTCCAGAAAGTCTTCCTTGATTCCTTTAACAGAAAGTCTTCCTTGATTCCTTTAACCAGCTATGATTGCTCATTTTTATTAATTCTTATAATAGTCTTTGTACCTCTTATGATAGTCTTCATATTTTGCTTTAAAAAGGAATTATGCCTGCCTTTCTCCATTCCTGCCAAAGGTGAATTGCTCAAATTTTACAGCACCCCACCAAATATAAACATTAACCTAACATTTTAGATAGCTATGACCAAACACCATCATAAAGGGGTCAACGTCAATACTTTCTTTAGATTGTTAACAAAGAGATGGTCTGACCAAAGGCTATGGAAGAATTCTAACATAAGCCATGTTAGAATCCATTGATATTTTACAGACAGATGCTTCTGTGCATATTAACACTATGTAATAATTTATTAATTGCTTTAATATATATTATTTCATTTTTATTTTCATAAACATCCTCTAAAGTAAAGACTATGTTCTCTACTTTATAGTTAGAAAATATGAAGCCCAGAGAGGTCTGAGATCAGATGGTGCTTTCAGGGTATGCTAGATCTAGAAACAAATTCTTCTTATGTCTAATCTGAGGTTCTTTTCACTGTCCTGAAGTACTTTCCCAAAGTCTCTACCACATCAAGTATTCACAAGACCAACCCTCTCCCAGAGCAGGTCCTACTTAAACTAGCTTCCCTAGAAGGTCTTACCTGCCATTCATCAGGACCAGAACAGAACGGTTGTTGACCTGATTGTCATTTTGGTGCCTTTTCTAAAATTATACAAGAAAATTTTCAGGTAATAGAATTGAGCAAATTGCATGTAGAAAGTTAATACTTTGAAATATCATCCAGTGTAGTTCACCCTGTTTGTAATTTTCCTCTATCCCCCAAAGTCCTTCCACCATTAAAACAGGCCAAGAGGCTGATTGTCTTTGAGAAGTGGAAAAGGGAGGTCTGAAAAAGAACCAAGGGAGAAAAAAAATTTTTTTGGCTTATAAGATCAAGAGCCAAAGCCTTGGGGAAGAGAACAAACAACTTATATCAAAGGCCACAGAGGAAAGAATGCAAAAATAATGGGCAGGATGAGAGTCTCATACTCCTTGGTAAGTAGAGGGAAAGCTAAGTATCCTCAAGCATATTCCCATTCCACCCCCAACCATGGTCCACATTCAGAAGCCTATAGTGAATGCAATGAGAACTCCATAGACTTTTTCTGTAGCAGCTTTGCTCAGTCATCTATTCAAAGACCAAATAGAAGGGGGGAAAATACAGGGTATGTCCTGGTTCTAGGACACATGAATCCTCTCCTTCCACTTGAGATTACACCCTGGGAAAAGGGCAGAATTGGGAAGGAGGCAGAAAGAATCCTGAATTTGTCAGAATATTTGTCCTAAAGAGATGAAGTTCTAAGCCAAAAGTAACTGGGTTATTCTGAATTGGCAAGTTAAGTTTTTGTCTCTTTAAAAATGGTTGGGATTGTGCGGTGGTTGTTATGAACTATATTGAGTTCAGTTACAGAGAAATAAAGTAACATTTTGCTTTGTGACTTCAGTCATAATTGAATTATGACTGAAATTTAAACCATGTGCTAATTCTGGATTTAAAGAGTTACAGACTTGCCCGGCTGGTGTGGCTCAGTGGTTGAGCATCGACCCATGTACCAGGAGGTCGCTGGTTCGATTCCTGGTCAGGGCGCATGCCCCGGTTGTGGGCCAAATCCCCAGTAGGGGGCATGCAGAAGGCGGCCAATAGATATTCTCTCTTATTGATGTTTCTATCTCTCTCTCCTTCTCTCTTCCTCTCTAAAAATCAATTAAAAATAAAAATAGAGTTACAGAGTTAAAGAGCTAGAGAAACATCCTTCTCAAACTTTGGTCTAAATAGCTATTCTGGCAAAATCAGGACTCTCTTATGGAGGATGCAAGCAGGTCAACAGGACTGGCTTCCCAAACCACTAGTAGGCATGGAACTGGGTCCTCACTCTTATCCTTTTTTTGCAGGGCCTGCTGTAAGGAGCAATGAGGAAGCCAGGCAGCACTCACTGGGAGCCAGTTTCTCTCTCCAAGGCCAGGAAAAGAGTCAGCCTCTGCTTAAGCATGTCATAAGGCTTTCTAAAACCAGAGGGTTCCTGGCCATGCATACCTAATAGAATTGAAAGTTGTAAAGGGAAATAGGGAGAATTGGAAAGGAGACATTAAATATACAAAGGGAAGATAAGAACAGAAAAAAGAGGGAGGAGGAGGCTGATGGATGAAGAGAAGATGGATATAAAAATGAGAGAAGAGAGAACGGAGAAAGGAGGATGAGAGCAAACCTAGAGAGAGCTAAGCGGGGATTGAAAGAATAGGTTATTAAAAAAGAGATGGAAGGAAGCCTGGAAAAGGGGCAAAGAATGGTAACAAAAAGGTGGTCCCTTTCTGGCCATGCATAGACCACCAGTCTTGGGCCTATGAAAATTACATATTCCTCTGGAATAGATAGAGAAACAAGGAAAGAACACGTCTCTTTCCAGTCAATGCTTCTTCAGAGCACTAGATAATTCTTGGAAGTCCTTCTTGCCCCTTAGCCTGACTAGGTACAGTGTGGAATTAAAGGCCTAGAAAGTCACTTTACCAGGTCATCAATGGCATCTTTCACTGCTGTTATGGTTAGCACCACTATCAGGGGTATCACAGTTGAGTACCATGCCAAGGAGGAGATCTGGGGAATCAACTGTGAAGGGGAGAAACTTGGGTGAGAAAGCTTAAAGGATAATATACTTCCCCACACCACAACATCATTTGCACCTCCATAGGTTCATAATAAATTCAACTATCCTAGTTGCTTTCCACTGTTTGCAGCCTTTATATAACCCCCCAAATATAAGTGAACATCTTCCAAGAAAGAAGGAAAAAAGAAGAGACTGTAAATTGCTATCTATCTGTCCTGAACTCTACTACATTTGTCTTGATGGCAAAGGGTCATTTCTCCTGTGATAATGAAGGTGCTGGGGGTAGGAGAGTAAGAGTGAACATGGGAAAACCTCATACCCTCCTATACCCCTTCAGCATAGGGGAAATGAGATGATCTGTCCCTCTCTCCTAATTTGGGCCTACCCTGCCCTGCTTCCTTGCCCTGTGCTGGTACTCATGTTCTAGACCATTTTCCTTCCTCAGCACTCCTGCACTGTAACTGTCAGGAAGGCTGAGACAAGGAGAAATGGGGTTACAACTGGTTGGGGTAAAGAGTCTGTAGCCTCCTATGGTCAAGCTGAACTGTGGCCATGCAGCCATAATGAGGAGCTCCCCTTTCTTGGGATCCAGTGACCTTGTTTCCTTCTTCTTATATAGGCTTGTTTCATCCTGGCTAATCCTGACCACAGCAACTCTAGAGGACTGGCCTGAGATCCCAGCCATCCATTTGCCTGTCATCTAATGAGAAAAGGCATCTCTGAGTTTAGGGAGGAGAAGGACTGATTATACAACTTGACCCCAGAGAGGTTGATAAAATGTTCTATGGAAAAGGCCCCAAAAGGCAATACCTGTAAGATTAGCAAAATGAGAAAATATGCATTGGCAAGTCTCTGGAACTGTTCAAATAGGTTCAGGGGCAAGAAGTTAAAGACATTATATTTTGAGGTCTTGATGGTATTGTTCTGTGAGTAAAAGAAAATAAGCACAATTAGAGGAACAAAAGACCCTCCCACCTCCCAGTCTTTTTTTATTTTATTTTAGAGAGAGAGGAAGGGAGAGAGAGAGAGAGAGAGAGATAGAAACATCAATGAGAGAGAACATCAATTGGCTGCCTCCTGCTTGCCCCCACCCCCCCTAGGGATTGGGCCTACAATCTGGGCATGTGTCCTGACCGGGAATCAAACTGGTGACTTCTTGGTGCATGCTCATCCACTGAGCCACAGGCAGGGCCCACCGCCCAGTCTTTTTTTTTTTCATCCTCACCTGAGGACATTTTTTGCATTTATCTTCAGATAGAATGGGAGGGAGAGAGAGAGGAAGAGAAAGAGAGAAACATCGATGTGAGAGACACATCAAGTGGCTGCCACCCACAAGACCCCAACCGGCAGGGCTGGGGACAAACTGCAACTGAGGTACATGCCCTTAGCAGGAACTGAACCCAGGACTCTCTGGTCTGTGGGCCGACACTCTAACTGCTGAGCCAAACAGGCCAGGGCCCACCTCCCAGTCTTAACAAAAAGGACCAAGGCCTCTCTGTGGTATGGTAAAAAGCCACAGTTCCCCTTCCAAAGGAAAGGAGAAATGTTTGTCTCCCTTTGTCCCAATGTTTTCTTTGAGGCCTAGAGAGGTCTAGAGGATGCAAAGATGTCAATGCTGATCACTATGGGCTTTTTTGGGAGACAGAATGTATTTCTACCCTGGATAGAATTCTTTGTGTATTGATACTATTGATAATGATAAAATCAACAACAATAAAAGCTTATACTATTGAATATTTATTACATGCAAGGCATTGTTCTCATTATTTTACATGTAGCAACTTATTTAATCCTCAAAACAACCCTATGATGAAGTACTGTATGATTACCTTTTTTTGATAAGTAAATCGAGGCACTGCAGTTATTTGCCCAAGTCCACCCTGTCAGTTGCAGAGTTGGGATCGTGCTGTCCCCTGAGACTCAGTCCACTTGTGTAGCCATCCAAATACTTCCCTTCCTTAGAATCATAAATCCTTCAGTTTCATCTTACCCTCTGGCCCCTAAGGTCCTCCTCAGTCCTAAATAGGCAAGTTATTTGTGTTAGCTCATTCCAGAGTTCTCTAATGAAGCTTTTCTTAGTCTGGCAAACTCACTTTGGTGTGCCTTTACATGTTGGTTTCATTGCTGAAGGATGTCAATGCCAAAAGCAAATTGTTGTCTCTCAACCTTAACCCACTGAAGGTTCTTACATTGGTTGCTGTCAGCATTAGGAAATCATCTGCCCTCTAATAGTCCTGAGAGAGTTTGACTAGTTTCGGCCTACATCTAAGCTATTATTTTGCTAAGTGAAAACGGGAATTTGCTACCTCTTCAGATCTCAAGATGTTTACAGGACCATCTTACTTTCTATCTTTGGATCTTCAATTATTTGACCTAAGATGTCAGAGCTTGAATCTAAGAGCTCAAGAAAAGCAGAAGAATGAGACCAAGTAATTCCTTACCAACAGGGCTTCTCCACCTCTTCCATCTGTAAGGCCTAAACAAAAGAATAAACCCATCTACAGGCCTGGAGTACAGATACCACTCAAGTATGAGGAACCTTGCTGGGCCCTGCCTTGGGAAGGCATCAGAGTGCTCTTGGAGAACCAAAACCATTCAGTCCTAAGGCAAAAACTTGCCCAGGAAGGCTAGATAGGCTACCCAGCCAAGACTTGCCCCAGGTCTGTTTCCCAAAGGAACAGAAATTTGTTCAAATACTTGGGAATTTAGAGATCTAAGCCAACACTAAGATTTCCTTGGTGTCATTTCATTATTTTCTCCATAATTTTTCCAATTAACAATTGGAAATTGTTGAACACTATACATTTCTCAAGGTTTGCTCTGTTCACAGCCCTATGCTGGGCTATGCTAGTAGAGGCTGAAAAAGAATTAAACAAGATTTATCCCAGAGAAGCTCATAGGTTTGCCTTGAATGGAGTTCTTTGTTTTATTTATTTATTTATCTGTTTATTTATTGGTATGTGCCCCTAGCAGGAACCAAACCCGGGACTCTGTGGTCCGCAGGCTGACGCTCCAACCGTTGAGCCAAACCGGCCAGGGCTTGAATAGAGTTCTAACTAAATGATCTATAAGGGCCCTTCTAGACTAGAGAGTATGTTATTCAACATTGAAATAGTTTTCTTTGATCATAAGATACTAAGATACTGTGGATTTCTAGGTGTCTAAGTCCAGATGGCTCTGATACTTGGACCCAAAGATCTTTTCTTTTGCCTTACAGAAGCAGCTGGCTGTCACTATTAATTTTCCATTTGATTTTATAGCTAATTAATGTATTTTGTGCTTCAATTCGCTTGGGTAGCATTTGTTTAGGAAACAAAGACAAAAGCCATGCTGATTCTGTCTCAAGAGAGAAGTATCAGTACTTCTTTACTTAACTTGGCAACTAGAGTGTTTTGTTCTACTCTTAAATGTCAAACCAGAAACAGTATTTCAAGAATGTAGCACATCTGCTTAACTATGAACTTCCTCAGTGTTTAGTTATTTTGGCACATGTGATAATATTTAAGCATAATAGAGGTAGTGGGTTTTGGTTTGGGCTATTTATTTATTTGGGCATTGTACTTAATTGATGGCTAAATGGTGGAACAGAGAAGGCCAAGGACGTAATGGAATCAGTATTTAGGGGTTGGGAAGAGGAAAAAGAGTAGGAATGGGAGAAATAGAGAAATAGGAGGAAAATGAACAATTAGTAGGACCAGGGAAATGAAATGGTTGTTAAATAGATAAGAATCAGTCAAATCTGTTTATTTATTCATTAATTATTCAGCATATATTTATTGAATGCCACTTATGTGCTAAACATTGTGATAGAAACTGTGGGTATAGGTTGAATGAGACTTGTTCCCCTTTTTAAAGGGGTAACGTTTCTTGTTGAAAGAGAACTAACATTTTTCATAAGCACACTTAACTCCTACAACCACCATGTAAGGTGGTGAACATTATATGCTCTTTTTATAGATGAGGGACCTGAAAATCAGAGAAGTTAGCATACCTAAGGATGCAGGGTTAGTAAGGTGTAGAGCTGTGTTTAAATTCTGGTCTAAGGCCAAAACCTAGTTTTACTGTACCACAATGCTCTGTATGCAGGTCTAGAAGACAGAGCATGGGAAAACCTGCTCCTATGTCTATACCCTGAATACTGTTAATTTCCAGAAATTATATGCTAATATTCTACAGAGACTACAAATACACATGGCTATATATATATTTTTATAAACTTACAGCTATACAACATTAAACCCTCAATTAACGTTGTTGATAGGTTCTGCAACTTTAAGTGAAAGACGTATAATGAAACCAATTTATTTATTTTTAAAGAGAGAGAGAGGAAAAGGGGGAGAGAGACATTAATTTGTTGTTCTACTTATTTATGCATTCATTGGTTGCTTCTTGTATGTGCCTTGACTGGGGATCAAACCCACAATCTTGGTGTATGGGGACGATGCTCTAACCAACTGAGCCAAATAGGCCAGGGCTGAATGAAGACATTTTAAATCTTCATCAATAGGAAACTGGTTAAATAAATTAAGGTATCTTAATATAATGGAAAACTATGCTGCTATTAAATGAATTAGGTAGATCTATATGTATTGTAGAAGATAGATATCTAAATGAAAAAAGAAAGTTGTGAACTATGCCTTCATTTGTGCAAGAAAAAGCTACAGTATTTCTTTTGTAGAAGTTATATATATAAAGCCCCAAATCTGACATATATTATCCCTGAGCCTACATCACTGGATTAATTTTGGTTCTGAGCCTTCACCCCACCAGCCCTCATTGTATGGAGTGTGAAGGAAAGTAGAATCTGTTACAGGATCTACATCTACAATGAAGTTTCTGCTCCACCAAAAAGGGGAATATTAGAGGAAAATTTCAGCCCCCTTCTGAAATAGCCAGAGACCTGTTACTCACCGGATATCCAAATACAGTGTTGAATTCTTCATTGTTGGCTTGCAGATACCTCTCTTGTTCTAAGAAAGAGGAGAGAAATGATAAGAAGAATGCCCCTCTGCAGATCAGCCTGGGATGCTGGCTGCTAGTGAAGACTTCACTACCTCATGCTTTCTTGGTGAGGATATCTGTCTAAAAATGGGAATTTGTCTCTTTATTTAAATAATCAAGAAAACCCTGGCCGGTGTGACTCAGAATGCTGAAGTGTTGTCCCGTGCACCGAAGGATTGCAGGTTTGATTCCCGGTCAGGACACATACCCAGACTGTGGTTTTGATCCCAGGTCAGGGTGCATATGGGAGGCAACTTATCGATGTACCTCTCTCACATCAATGTTTCTCTCTCTCTCTCTCCCTCTCCCTTCCTCTTTCTCTAAAATCAATAAAAACATATCCTTGGTTGAGGGTTAAAAAAAAAGAATTAAGAAATACAATCAAGTCCTAGCTGGTTTGGCTCAGCAGTTAGAGCCTCAGCCCTCGGAGCAGTGAGTTGTGGGTTCAGTTCTGGTCAAGGGCATGTACCTTGGTTGTGGTTTGTCCCTGGTCCTGGTTAGGTCGTCTGGGAGGCAACCAGTCGATGTCTTTCTCTCACATCAATGTTTCTCTCTCCCCGCCCCCTCCACTCTATCTGATTAGAAATAGAAAAAATACATTCCTAGGTGAGGATAAAAAAAAAAAAAGAAATACAATAAAAATGAAAATCTTCAAGTGCTTAAGCTTTCTGAAGGCAACAGAACAAGTAATTTCTGAGTTTTCCATCATTAATGTTTCCAGTAAATCCTAGTTTATGTCTCCACAGATAATAGGATGGCCTGCACTAACACTACTGCGAAACACAGAAACCCAGACTGCTCTCATAGGTCAATTCCAGTACCTTAACTTGCTTAACTAAATTTAAATTAATAAGTCGTTACTGAGCACTGAAGCAGTGTGCTAGATGCTGTCGGGGGATGAGTAAGACAGAGTACCTGACTTCAAGGAACTTGTAGTTCAGTAGGAGTAAGCCTGATAACTATAACACATGACAAAGCCATCATATCAAAACACATATATGTTATGAACTATTCCAAATAGTGAGTCCATTACCATGTTACAAAAAGTCTTAAAAACAAAACAAAATTATCAATAGATCTTTCTGCCCTAAATGAAATACTCCCGTAGTTTTTTCAAGTCTTCATTGGTTCAACAAACATTTACTGAGTTCTTGACAGGTGTCAGGTCCTGTGCTAGGTCTTATGGTTACATTATCCCTGACTATTTTGGGACTACTAATCCCAGTGGGGAAGATAAACATAAAAGAAAACTTTAATCTACTGTAAGGGCAGGAATATAGGCAAGAATAGGAGTGCACAGAAGAGGGGCTGGAAGTAAGGAAAAGTAGAATATGGAAGTGTTCCTGGAACACTCAACAGACCTCTCCATTGTTTCAAAAATATTACTTTATGACTCTTTATAAAGTTCTACTATTCTATTATTTTCTTATTGAATTTCACATTTATTAAATTTAATCCTACATATCACTGATTATTTCTTAATTTAAAAAAGATATAATAGTTTTACCCTGCAATTTATCTGGGTACAGCAGTCTATTCTCTCTAAGCCTACCAACCCTGAGGGATACATGGAGTCCAGGCTCTGACAGCAACTGAATACATACCTCCCTCTTTGAGTTTAAGAGTAGAGTAAAGCAGGTAGATCCCAAAGTTCAGAGCTTGAGTTGGTGGAAACAGACTGAGACTCCAAAGTAGGGGCAGGATTAACCTTCACCTAGTTCTGGCTCTGATACCAGACCTGCCATGAAAGAAGACAAAGGCAGAAAAAAAGTAGGGTTTTCACCATGAGAGGAAGACGAATTGAGGGTTAGAAAGTCAGATATCATAAGATGCCTCTAAAAAAGGAAAAGCAGGGATGATGAGAAAAATGGTTAAAACTTCAGTTTGTACAACCTACAAGAAGAAGCTGAAAGTCTGAGAGAGAAAGACAAGCATAAGGAAAGAAAGCATTCAGTCATGTTTGAGATAACAAAGGCAGGAAGAATGTTTTCAGATGGGATAATACAAGATTAATTCGAGATTCCCTAGGGCTTGTGAGTACTCTTGAGAAAAGACTGGGATGACTGTTTTTCCCATTACTTGTTAAATCAAAGTTTATTCCTGTTTGGCTGAAATGAGAGTGACAAAATGTAAATTATGGATGAGAGGTTAGAGCTATAGAAGAGCAGAAATTAGCTTAGACAAAGAAAGTACAGGAGACGGTCTAGTTGAAGAGGCCTTGGATATGGAATTCAAGGGGACAAACACCTAGCTCTAGCCTCTGGTGACTGCAGAAAATGTATCCTTCACTGGGAACTGAGGGTTGAGTCTATAGCCTGTTCCGCAAAGGTCTGGTTTCACAAAAACCTGTGTGTTGGGAGCTTGCCTGCGGGTGGTAAAATCATTGATTTGAAAGGGCCAGATATGTTGATGAAGCAAGGAACTTGATATTATAAAATATGAAGTGGGCTTAGAGTTAAAACTACGGCAGTCTCCCATAGTGGTTAAGAAATTAGGCAATCAAGTCAGGCTGTCAAGTTTCAAATCTCAGTCCTCCTCTTACCAGCTGTGTAGCCTTGAGGATATTACTTAACCTCTCTGAGACTCATTTTCTGCATCTGTAAAATGGAAACGATAATAATACCTACCCATAAGGTTATTGTGAGGGTTAATAAATTAAGGGATGCAAAACATTTTTAAACAATTCCTGGTATATTAAAAATGCTCAGAAAGACTTAGCTGTTATAGACTGAGCTCTATGACTAAATTGTTAAGTGACTTATGGCAAGTTACTTTCCATGTCTGGGTTTTAGTTTCCTCATGTGTAAAATGGGGTAGTAAAATCTACCTTATATGCTAATGTGAGGGTTACATGAGATGGTAATTATAAAGTGATTACATAATTCCTGACACATCAAAAGTGTTCATTAAATGATATATTTTTGTCCTTTACCTTATGCTATGTCAAGGAGATTGCATAAGCATTGTTGATACAGTTATCTATGCCCAAAATAGAATTTGAACATTCCGCTATCAACTGTGGATGTCCTAAGCTGATCCAGCCAGTAGAGAAGAAAGGGTACAAAAGCCCCAGTCTAGTGAGGGGAATTTTACTCAATCCTTTGATGGGATGGTAGCAGAAGAGAAGTGTCAAAAAAGGAGAAGCCTCTATGTAAGGATGTCCTTGAAACTTTGCCAGGGTATAAAACTTAGCTCTTATGCAATCATGATGTAATTCAACGTCAGGTTTTGGGTGGTTACAGCTACAGAAGATTGAAGATTAGCCTAGACAAGGAAATGGTAGAAAGTAAAAAGGAAAATGAGCTCTGTAAAAGGGAACTAGAGAAAGTGGCACACTGGAAGATAAGTAGCCAGGAGAAAGAAGGAGAGAGAGAGAAAAGGGAAGGAATGCCAGCTGGTCAGGTGGAAGTCAAGCTTAGGAGGTTCTGAGCAAATATCAGAAAGTAGTCACAAATGGGGTTTTCCACATAAAGAAACAAGATCAGTGAGATAATCTTCAGGAGTGCAGGTCTCTAGTAGGCCAGGCAAGGTCCCCTCTCCTTATACCACCAGACTCCCAGCTCAATTAAGCACAGGTGCTGGTGAGAGAAACTCAGCAATGACCCTTGTTGACATTCTAGACCAATAGCATAGGTGATCTTGCCCAAGTCACCTAATGCATGTGACCGAGATTTCTCCATCTCTAAAATTAAGTGAGGATAGCTGCCAGGGGAAGGATAATTGGCCAATTTTTGGAATTTTGGGTCAGATGAGTTAGAATCAATTTACATTAAAAATAATGATTCCCACATGATCACAATTTTCCTGTGGTAGTCAAATAGCATACTAAAACATTAGTGCTATCAGTAGATTTAGCTAGCCATATGGCATCCAGTCTTGATACACACAAACATTTACATTTCACCTCTCCAGACTGCATCTCTAAAACATCTGGAGGATAGATAGAAAATGATACTTCCATTTAAAGAATGGTAAGAAGAGCTGAACGGCATAGCACAGAATCATCACAGGAAAGGCCAGTGTCTGTGATCCTACAGAAGAGGCTGTAACTAATTTGTTTTCTCATCACCATTTCATTACATGTTTCTAGTTCAGTCAGTCTATCCACTGTCTCATGGTTTACATTCAGCTTACTTATCATACTGATTATATCATCTTCCCCCAGTAAACAAAGAGCTTCTTAAAGGTAGAGACCATGCTTTCTTTTTTTGTTTTCTTTAAATATCTGTAACCCACTGCTTAGCTCAATATTAGTCCCTGGGTTTAATAAAGATTTGTTGAATGAACAAACACACACATGCAAATGGATGCTTAGAAACATGTTCTGTTAAATTGTGGTCAAGTTTCTGCCCAAACACCTCCAATGGAAGAGAATTACCTTTTCCTTGTGGGAATATCTACATAACCACAGAAGAGCTGGGCTGAAAGAGAAACCCCAGCTAAAATGAATTCTTTGTTGCTCTTTCTGTGCTAAGTTCAGCAAACAGGAGGATATTTAGCATAGCTGAAGAGGGTGGGTACAGTGCAGTATTAAAAAGAACCTGGATGGCCCTGGCCGGTTTGGCTCAGCGGTTAGAGCGTTGGCCTGCGGTCCTGAGAGACCAGGGTTCGGTTCCCGCTAAGGGCGCGAACCTCGGTTGCGGTTTGTCCCCGGCCCTGGTTGGTTGTGCGGGTGGCAGCCACTCGATGTGTTCCTTTCACATCGATGTTTCTCTCTCTCTCTCTGTTCCTCTCTCTCCCTCCCACTCTACCTGAACAAAAAATGGAAAAATGTCCTCGGGTGAGGATAAAAACAAAAAATTATAATAAAATAAAAAGAACCTGGATGCCCTGGCCTGTTTGGTTCAGTGGTTAGAGTGTCAGCCTGCGGTCCAGAGAGACCCGGGTTCGGATCCTGCTAAGGGCATGTACTTCGGTTGCAGTTTGTCCCCGGCCTTGGTTGGGTCATGTGGGTGGCAACCTCTTGATG